CTCTCGATCCTAACATTGCCAACCTCATTGAGAAATACCCAACTGTCTTCCATGGAACTCTAAGCCTTCCACCCTCAAGACCTTATGACCACCGTATTCCACTACTCCCATCTACTCCACCTATTAATGTTAAACCATACCGCTACCCACACTCCCAAAAAGACGCAATGACATCCCTCATTCAGGATATGTTAAGGGAAGGCATTATTATCCCTAGTAACAGTCCCTTTTCTTCTCCAGTCCTCCTTGTCAAGAAAAAGGATGGAAGCTGGCGATTCTGTGTTGATTATCGCGCCCTAAACGCAGTAACAATCAAGGATCGTTTCCCTATTCCAACTATTGATGAACTCTTAGATGAGTTGGGCAATGCTACAATATTTACCAAGATAGATCTACGCTCAGGATATCATCAAATACAAGTTTCATCAGAAGATACTCATAAAACAGCATTTCGCACATTTGACGGTCATTACGAGTTCTTAGTTATGCCCTTTGGGCTAACTAATGCGCCCTCTACATTTCAATCCTCTATGAATGAACTCTTAAGACCTTACCTTCCACGGTTTGTTTTGGTTTTCTTTGATGATATACTCATTTTTAGCTCATCCATGAGCGATCATTTAGTCCATTTAGATATCCTTTTTAATGTTTTAAAGTCCAATTCCTTTGTTGCAAAATTTTCAAAGTGTGTTTTTGCAGTTAACAAGGTGAATTATTTGGGTCATGTTATATCAGACGGTAGTGTTGCTGCAGATCCAGAAAAAATTCAAGCCGTAGTGGATTGGCCGGTGCCACGATCTCTCACGGCACTGCGGGGTTTCCTCGGTCTCACCGGTTTCTATAGACGCTTTGTGCGCCACTACGCCACTCTCGTCGCTCCTCTCACCGATTTATTGCGTTCTACTAAATTTTCATGGAGTACAGAGGCTGCTTTGGCCTTTACAGAATTGAAAAAGAAAATGACCGACATGTCGGTGCTGGCTTTGCCAGACTTTTCAAAGACATTTATCATAGAAACAGATGCTTCCGGAGTTGCAATTGGTGCCGTCCTCTCCCAGAATGGCCACCCCCTCGCCTTCTTCAGCAAGAAAATGTGCCCTCGTATGCAGTCCAGCTCAGTCTATGTCCGCGAGATGTACGCTGTAACGGAATCAGTAAAAAAATGGCGTAAGTACTTAGTTGGTCAGAAGTTTCAGATTTACACAGATCAAAAGAGTTTAAAGAATCTCTTATTGCAAAGAATTCAGACCCCAGAACAACAAAAATGGGCTTCAAAACTTCAAGGGTTCAATTTTGAAACTTTCTACAAACCTGGTCGCTCGAACCTTGTCGCAGATGGTCTAAGCCGCAAGTTTTCCGTTCAAGAACCTCCTCTTCTAATGGCTCTCTCTTCGCCCATTCCAGATCTAGTCATCCATCTCCGCCATTATTATGCCACAGATTTGGAAGGACAACAGTTAGTCAAAAATACAACCGAGATGGATGGAAATTATTACACATATTCAAAGGGTCTACTGTTTTTCCGAGAAAAACTATACATACCTTTTAATCATTTAAGGTTGGCACTCATTGAAGAGTTTCATAACACACCAACGTCGGGTCACTCGGGTGTCAAACCAACAGTTGCTAGACTCGCTGCTTCCTTTGCTTGGCCAGGACTCCACACCGAGGTCAAGGAATTCATCAAACATTGCATAGTTTGCCAACAGAACAAATATCAAACACAAAAAAGAAAGGACTATTGCAACCGTTACCAATACCAAGTTAGGTGTGGGAGGAACTCACCATGGACTTCATCACTCATCTCCCAAACTCCTTCGGTCATACAACGATCTGGGTCATCTGCGATAGACTCACAAAGTATGTGCACTTCATTGCTCTTCCAACTCGATACACTGCACAGGATTTAGCAACACGATTTTCTGTTGAGATTTGCCGACTCCACGGTATTCCCAAATCGATTGTCTCGGACAGGGACCCCTTGTTCTTGAGTTCATTTTGGAAACAGCTGTTCAAAGTTCAAGGAACAACATTAAAGTTTAGTACATCATACCATCCAGAAACAGATGGACAGTCAGAAGTTGTAAATAGAAGTTTAGAACAATACTTACGATGTTTCGTTAGCGACCATCCCAAGCACTGGTTCAAGTACTTGCATCTGGCCGAACTCTGGTTCAACACAACGTATCACTCGGCCATTAAGATGTCACCATTTCAGGCTCTATACGGACGTCCTCCTCCATCTATCCCGGATTACATCAAAGACTCCACCAACATTGACTCCTTGAACTTCTCGTTTCAACGTCGCTAAGAAATCTTGAGTCAGCTCAGATATAACTTACAGAAAAGCAGAAAACAAATGGAAACTCAGGCAAACAAAAAAAGACTGGATATTACCTTTCAGACAGGAGATTTGGTACTCCTTCACTTGCGACCTTATCGTCAACAAACGGTCATGAAACGGACTTCACAAAAACTTTCAAAGTATTTTCATGAACCTTTCAAGATCATCCGACGCGTAGGAGAGGTGGCCTACGAACTGGATATACCTTCATCTTCCAGGATCCATCCTATCGTGCATGTGTCTCTCCTCCGTCCTTTCTACGGCAAAGCGAACCACCACTAAGAACAGAACCTTCCTTTACACCTCTCTGATGTATTCCTGCAAGACAAAATGGTACACAATACGACTGTTGTTAGCAAACAACTCTTAGAAGGCGAAGAAAATAAAAGAAAAGAAGAAGACGATCCACACAAGATCGTTTTACATACACCAGAGATACCCTTCAATGGACATGCAAATCAAAGTCCGGAGTTGTTTGCCAAAGAGAAGGCTGGGAGGGTGTTATCTCCACACAGCGGTGGTACTTTGAAGACCACAGAAAATCTACAATATAGGGTTAAGCTTCCTTTTATACCCACCACTCAATCTCAATCTCCAAGTACACTTGTACGCTCTCTCTCTCTCTCTCCTGCACGTGCAAGCCACTTTCCAAAAAACCCACACCTACAACAGACTAGAAGTTTCCCTTCCCCATGTAGCATTAAAGACCGTCGGTCTTCTCAACCTTATCACCTTCCCAGCTGTCACGCCTCACCTTCTCCCCCACACTGCTGTAACACATCATTCCCTTTCCCAGCCAGCGGTACCGCAACACCAACCAAAAGTCACGTTCATTTTCCAACGTTACAAGGCACTTCTATTATGGATGACACTTCAACACGGGCCCCTCACGTTACAAAGCCCAATCCGCTTTTGAACCTTGAGGACAAGGTTCCCATTGAATCAGGGAATATTGATAGGCCAGAATGTTCCAGGCCCAATAAGCTTGTTAGAGAAAGAAAAAAACCCCTTTGGTTTAAAGATTTTTATCATTATTAAGTAGGGGTGTCTTTAACGTTTTTATCCTTTATGGGCTTAACATAATTATTAGGCTGATCCATGATGTGAAAAGAACCCTAGTATTTATATTGTAATGTTGCCTCTTATGAAAAGAGAAAAAAAAGTTGTTTTATGTTTATCTTCCCCTTAATTTCCTTGTTTGATTTTATTCCAACGTAAATCTATCATTGGAATTAATACTTTTACTTAAACTCTTCTACTAATTTGACTCTATATTCTTACACATACAAAATATAGCCAACACATGTTTATTGAGATTATACTCATTTCTATGCATTCATTTTATTCAACCTCATACATTCTTGTGATCGAGTGAGTATAAAATATTTGATATTTTTAAATTTTAGTTCACATTTCTAAGGAAGCATCACCATTCTTTAAATTGGAGAAGAATTTATTTGAAATGTACAACACTTGATAGCTTTTTTTTCAAGAAATTATATTTTTAATTAATGTAAAATGCATCTATTATTATTATTATTATTATTATTATTATTATTATTATTATTATTATTATTATTATTATTATTATTATTATTATTATTATTATTATTATTATTATTATTATTTTGAAATCTTAAAATCTGGTCTACCGACCGACTAATAACAAATCTTTATCGTAATTAATCACAAATACCTTAATTATAAATATGCTGATCAAAAAGAAAAACATGAATAAAAATATGTTAACTTATAATTGAAAAATATAGACCTGCAGAATATATTAGGAGAACATGAAATTAAAATTTATTTTTAAAAGGAGTTGTCACTTTATTGGTAAAAAATTTAACATCTATATCAATTTTAAAATTTACATATTATCTTATTTATTTATTTCTTAATAATAAATCCATTCAATCCATTTAAATCTTAACAATTTCAACAATATTTACTTTTAAAAAATCATATCACAAAATTCTTTCAAATTTAAATTGTAAAATGTGGAATACAAATAACATTTTCAAAAAAAAATCTAAAAAACTAAATCGAAATACATATTTAAATCTAAAACATTTAAAATAAAAACCACACATACTAAGTATACACAATATTAAATATTACCTTATACCATTTCAAAGACACTAACTATACACTTATTGAACACATTTTTGTATTACTTTATTTTATTCGGCTTTCTGTCGGCTCCTAACAATTGGCTAAGTCTCTTCCTTTTTCACCGACTAACTAATATTGGCTCGAACCAGCTGCCATCCGTCAAGAATGTTCTCTCCACACCCGCCGGCAACAACCTTCCCTTCACACCTCCACTCTCTAATTCTTTATTTATTCATCTCTTCTATACTCATTAATTACCAATATTAATTTCTCAAACCGCCTAATTATTTTTTTTCATTATTATTTCTAACTAATATTTAATTATTTCGTGCAAAAATTCTCTACTCCTTCGTTAATCCACCGACTGACTTTTCTCTAGCACAATGGCGGCTTAAACCCGATTTGAACCTTTCAATTCTTTCATTATATATATACACCAACAATTCTAATGGGGTTGGCGATTCAAATTCTTCAATCATCTATACATTTTTGCATGCAAAACAAAAATCAAGGTAACGTATTGTAGGGTTAGTATATATTTATGTTAAAGGTGGCGAATCCAAGAGATAAAGTTATTAAAAGGGAACTCGATGATCCCACATTGTCAAGTGAAATGGTATTTCCTTTTCCTGGTATGAATAGAGATAGAGAAATGTCTGCTATGATCTCTGCTCTCACTCATATCGTCTCTGGAGATGTTCCGAACCAAAGCACTCCAGTTGAACCAAGTATGATCAATATGTCTTCTTCTCCTAATTCTTCATCTAGTTATGTTACTAGTTCTTCTCTCAAAAGAACTAGAGAAGATGATAGATTCTTTGCTGACCAGGTGTCGCTGACACCAGATACAACACTGATACAGACGAGTAAGCACCATATTTAATTCTTCTATGTTTCTTATGTGTATACAAAGCTTATTGTTTTTATACCTGTTATGATTAACGCAGATGCAGAAAGTTCGAGAAATAGGACAACAACGGCAAGAGTAACAAGAGAAATGGGAAATGCTGTGTATGAATATAGAAGAACAGAGAGTGTGGTAAGAGAAGGAGAAGAGAAGAGAAAATACAGAGGAGTGAGACAGAGACCGTGGGGAAAATGGGCTGCAGAGATAAGAGATCCTTTCAAAGCAGCAAGAGTATGGTTAGGAACATTTGAAACAGCTGAAGCAGCAGCCAGAGCATATGATGAAGCTGCTCTTCGTTTTAGAGGAAACAAAGCAAAACTGAATTTTCCGGAGAATGTTACTCTTCGTCACCCTCCTCCAACAACGTCCACTCAGTGGAATGTTTCGAATATGCCGAGTTCTGTTGTTTCGATCACAACTTCTACTGACCCTGTGGTTCATACTCGACCTTTTTCATATTCACAACCTTCAACAAATTTGTATGATTCTTTCCAGTTTTCGGGTATTCCTGCTAGGAATGTTTATGATGATAATATGATTATGACTTCTTCTATGGCTTCTCATCTTCAATCTTCTTCGTCGTCGTTGTCACCAGCTTCTTCTTTGTCGTCTTCTTCTTCTATGCAGACCAATGCTTCAGCTTCCTCGTTTTATTCTACACCGTTTCCACCGTGGTCAGGCTCTGATCATAACTCTTCTTCTTCAAAATGAATCACCCAAACACGTGACAGATATCAGATATATACAGACATCAGACATAGACCCAAAATTTGCTAGTTTATTTTTTTCCATTGAGCTATATGTTAATCCATTTATAATTCATGACATCTTTTATGGTGATAATGTTTATGTAATTGCAATTTTTTTCCTTTTATTTAACAATCAATATTGAAAAGGGAATTGAATTCCTTACTAATTGGAGTCATTAGCGTTTGTTAGTAAACTTTGATCTATAATCTATACATGTATCTACGTTTCATACTAGTTTTTTTAGTAATATTAAAAGTGGCATGTTAGTGACACGAGACATGTAACATGACAAGATAATCATACATTTGGCCATTTGTATCCTTGTAACAACGTCTTCACTTTTTATTCTTCTCTTACAATTTTTTATCATCCTTAGTCCTTATCACATCACATCTTATAATTAAAATTCAAACTAGTTCGTTGCATTTATTATCTTAGAAAAACTTCTTTCAAACCTCTAGATGAAACATTGTCTAAATCTCGCCGCGAAATACTCGTACACCAAACATTTATATTAAGGTTAGAAACATGAATTGACTTTAGACATAATACATAGGTTGACATGGTGATTTATTCAAAGGAGCCTAATACAAAGTAAAACAAAGAACGAATAACTCAAAGGTGCACATAGGTTCAACAAAGCTGTTGTTTTCGATGGAAAAACGTAATAACTTGGGAACAAATATTCTCTTTAAAGTTTCGTTTATGTCTTCACACGTCTTTGTCAAAGAGAATGGTAGAAAGTGCACCGCACACTTAAGCTATAATTGTTCACACTAAAATTGCTCAGTGGCGTGTGAGATACCGAAAAGCAATAGTGTTGTGCAAGTAAACCATAAGAACTTTCAAGTTTAGCTTGAAGCAATAGATAACTAACACAGGATCATTGACTCAATCGCTTATTAAAATTATGTTTGAAGAAGTGACACTTGCGTTTATGAATGGTTACATGGTCTTATTTTGACCAATTAAATTATTTTCTAGGGAACATTTACATTTTTTGGTCAAGATGAAATATTTACATTGAAGATACAATGGAACTATCTTCAACTCGTGTGTGTCATACTTGTCATGCATCAATTTAAAATTCAATTTATGCATTTTTATAATGTTGATTCGAGGTCATAATCATAAAAAATGACAAACATAGGACTTATAGAAATAAGATAAAATAATTTTCGCCAATGAGGTTTAAGTCCTTAGATCTAAATGATATGAGGTTTCATTTTGACCAACTAAGCTAGTCAAAATTGTTAAACAATTGACATATTATTTAGAATGAAAAACCTATAATGCAAACTCCTCTCAAACCTAATTAGTCAAATAAGCACCTTCTCTCCAAAATGATATATACAGTGATTGTTACCCGGCAGGGACCATATATAAGATCTGTGGTTAAAGAGAAAAGAAAACATTATTACCCATCTGTTTTATTTAAAAAAATAAATTTTTTTTTTTTGTATTTTTAAAATAAATTTTATTAAAGCGTTTTTAAAAATATTAAAAATCTTTTAAATTTGTTTTTAAAATTTCATATTGACATAAAGACACAAAAGAAAATTAATATTTTTAACGTGGAAAACCTCTCAATATGAGAGTAAAAACCACATGTTGTCAAGACTAAGAAAAAAAATATGTTTACTATAATCAATTAAGGGTATAAGAGAGTCTAAAGTGATTCACAAATTAATATTAACAATCGCAAATCACAAAACAAACTAACTTACAAATAAGAATCAAAAAGCTGATTTTTTTTCAAATCTGCAGCTTCAGTGCGAAGCAAATAACTTTCACCTCATACGTTGTTTTGTATTTATGAACGGTCAAAAGTTAGATATATGTGTTACGAACATGCCCTCCAAATTTAAGCTCAATCCAATGGTTAACGAATTGGGAATCGTCGATTTAGTAAGACTGGTTGCAGAAAAATAAGAATGAGTTTCTCTCCTCTTTTATCTCTTTTGAGTTCTTATTTTTCCTCACTCTAAACGCTAAATTGATCTTCTCCATTTAAATAAATGAGACAAATGAGCTAATCATATTTGAGTCTTTCTCCACATAGAAAGGGAGTCCAAATCCAACACTTTTTAAAAAGCGTATCTGATCACTGTCAGACCTGTTGACTGGAATCTGTTGTTGTTGTATTTGATTATATCTCTATTGTATAGGCTATTTGTATCAATTCTTTATTGAACCTCCTTCAGTTAATGTATGAGTTATTTTTGCCAGTGTTTTATCCATCTCGTATGTTTTATTGTCGTTGAAACCTGAATCAAGGTGTAGACCACCCTAGAAATAATCAAGCATGGCATTTACATTGTATTTTTATGACCATTTGCATAGCAGGTGTTATTAGTTGGTTTTCTTATCTCTACCTAGTTTTCTTCAAGAGGATAGCGAATTCTTGTATTCACAAGTAAGGTACAAGGGGAAATCAGAAACGAGCAATGGAACAAATTCAGGTTGAGTTACTTGAGGTGCGAACTCATACGAATAAATTTATGGAACTGATGTATAATATGGCTCAGGGTCAAGAGCAGTTGAGAACATTAGTCCAACCCCTCATTAATCCACACATAGCTGAAGAAGGTGGTGTTATCCTTTCTGGTGGAGGTATTCCTGGTGGTGTTAATCCTTCTGGCGGAGGTGGCACTGGTGTTGTTATTCCTCCTGGCAGAGGAAGTCCTGGTGGTGTTATTGGAAGTGGAGTTGGCGGAGGTAGTGTATATGCTATTCATGGAGGTGGTGGAGGTCATAATCATCACTGGGACGTTGATCAACAGGAAGACGTGTTCTCTATGCGCTATCTAGATACCTGTCTCCCAACAGAAGCAGAAAAGAAATTCAGATTATTGGAAGACATAATGAATGCCTATGAAAGTCAGAATGCACTTGGTTTTAACATGACTGATTTAGGTCTAGGCATAATGAATGCCCATGAGTGATTACAAAATTGTAGATCAATTGAACCAGACTCCCTCTAAAATCTCCATCTTGTCTTTGTTATTATGTTCGAAGGCCCATAGAAATGCTTTGTTGAGAATTCTAAATGTTGCATATATACCACAAGAGATTTATGTGAATCAACTAGAAAAGGTTGTGGAACATGTTAATGCAGATAATGCTTTGGGGTTAAACGACTTTGACTTGACTCCAACTGGGAGGAATCACAAAATGCTCTACACATTTCCATGGAATATAGGGGTTCTTTGTTATCTCATGTTTTAGTAGATACTGGGTCTTCTTTGAATGTGTTGCCAAAGAAAGCGCTTATGAAGTTGGACATACAAGGGGTGATCTGTAGGCCCAGTGTTCTGGTTGTCTGAGATTTTGATGAGTCGAAGAGATCTGTATTTGGAGAGGTGGAATTTCCAATTAAGGTTGGTCCCAAAAATTTAAATACAACATTCTTTATCATGGACATCCAGCCGGCTTATAGCTGTCTTTTGGGCCGCCCATGGATCCACACTACAGGGGCAGTAACCTCGACGTTGCATCAGAGGCTCAAGTATGTGGTTGAGGGTAAGGTAGTTACTGTCTGTGGAGAATAAGATATTATAGTCATTCATTTGTCCTCGTTCAAGTATTTGGAAGTAGATGGTGAGATTCATGAAACTTTTTGCCAGGCGTTTGAAGCAGTTCAAATTCAAAAAGAGCCTCTGGTGGAGGATAAAAAGCCTGAAGTTTTTATGACTTCGTTAAAGAAAGCTCGTGCCATGGTTGAGGCTGGTAGTTCCCAAGGTTTGGATCAAGTTCTTGATGTTCCAGTAAAGCAGGGCAGGTTCAGTTTGGGGTACAAGCCTTCATAAGCTCCTTCAAGGTTCAAAGGTCCTATCCGGTTTTCAAGTGTTGGGGTCATCTTTGACTAAGTTAATGCCATAGGGGAAGACAAAGTCGACAGTGACTGTGATATGGATAACTAGATCCGCCTTTGCATTCCAGGACAAGAGCTTTTCACCTAGTCTTCTGAGGAAGTCATTCATGTCACTCTTTAAGAAGAGTAATTCTCTTTGTCTTTTACATTTGTCAAGTCCTACGTTCTGCCAAAGACGTAGTGACTCATTTGTAGGGCCGCATGTTTTTGTTTCCAATGTTTATCATAAATAAAAGGACATTTTTTTTGCATTCAAATATTTTGCTCCCTATCTTTTATTTTTTCTTTGACATTTTAAATGGCCATGTGTTTTTGTGTTTGTTTGTTTTCTCATTCTTAATAAAGCATAAAAACATCAATCATGCAGATTAATCACCTCAGATTCCATCAATAATGATTTTTCTATGGCTCAGTATGATTTTGACAATCCAATCTACTAAGAAGAAGAAGAGACTGATGAAGACTGTGAACTGCCTGAAGAATTGGCCAGACTATTGAAACAGGAGGAAAGGGTCATTCAACCTCATCAAGAGGATATCGAGATTGTTAATTTGGGTACCGAGGAAGCCAAGAAAGAAATCGGAATTAGGGCCGCTTTAGAAGATAGTGTTAAAAGAAGACTTATTAAAATGCTGCAAGAGTATGTTGACATCTTCGCATGGTTATATCAGGATATGTCTGGGCTTGATACGGACATCGCCGTGCATTGTTTGCCTCTCAAAGACGGCTGTCCACCGGTAAAAAAAAAGCTTTGAAGAACAAGACCAGACATGGCTGTTAAAATTAAGGAAGAGGATAAAAAACAACTGGATGTCGAATTTCTTGTTGTCACTAGTTATCCTCCGTGGGTTGCTAACATCGTACCTGTGCCAAAGAAGGATGACAAGGTCATAATGTGTGTTGATTTATGTGATATGAATAGAGCAAGCCCGAAAGACGACTTCCTGCTCCCTCACATTGATGTGTTAGTTGAAAATACAGATCAATATTCAATGTTTTCCTTCATGAATGGCTTCTCTGGGTATAACCAAATCGAAATGGCCCCAGAAAACATGGAGAAAACAACTTTCATAACACCGTAGGGGAC